TCGCTCTGGATGCCCCGTCGAAGAACAACTTCCATACCTGCGCGGTTTCTTGAGTAACGCAAGTTTCAGTAACTTCATCAGGCAATTCTTCATACAACTTAGATATTCCCGACACTGGATGATCGGCTAAGAAGTCTGCCAGTGCTTGACCCTTGACCGCCTTTTGCGGCATGAATTGCATATCATATTGTGACAAGAGGATAGCCCATTTTGCAAGCCGGCAATTTAGGGACGATGGTTTGGTCATCAGAACTCTTAAGGGATTCACCTTAGAAATGACATGAATTGTTTGCCCAACTAGGTAATGCCGCATCTTTTGAACTGCGAATACCAAAGCAAGACATTCTTTTTCAACTGGATTGTATCGGTGCTCGGCTCCCATCATAGTCCTGCTTAAATAGTAGATGGCTTGTTCTTGCCCTTGATCGTTGTTCTGGGCTAACAAAGCACCAAGAGAATGTTCCATGGCTCTCACGTACAACAGGAATGTTTTCCCTGATATTGGAGCCACGAGAACAGGCGGTTGAGTGAGATATCTCTTAATCTTCTCGAATGCTTTTTGGCATTCTCCATCCCAAACAAAGGATATTCCTTTCTTCATGAGCTTAGAGAAAGGTTGGCAACGCCCTGAAAGATTTGATATGAACCTTCGAATGTAGGCCAGTCTGCCTTGCAAACCTCTGAGCTCTTTGAGATTCTTCGGAGGTGGCATGTCTTGGATGGCACGCACTTTCTCTGGATCAAGAGAAATTCCCTTGGATGTGACAATAAATCCCAGGAATTTCCCACTTGAAACTCCAAGAAATGATTTTGTCGGATTCATCTTCAGCTGATGTGCTCGCATGATTTCGAACATTGTCTTCAGATCTGCAAGATGATCGTCTTTACATTGACTCTTTACTGCTATGTCATCAACGTAGCACTCGATCTTCTTTCGGAGGTGTTCGTGAAAGATCGTGTTCATTGCACGTTGATAAGTTGCACCTGCATTTTTCAAGCCGAAGGGCATCACTGTGTAGCAATACACCCCCAATGGTGTTCTAAAAGCAGTATGCTTTTCGTCGCCTGGGTGCATCTTGATCTGATTATACCCAGAGAATCCATCCATAAAAGACATCCTTTCGTATCCGCAAGTGTTGTCGATCATGACATCAGTAATAGGAAGAGGAAACTCGTCTTTTGGACAAGCTGCGTTAAGATCGCGGAAATCAATGCATATCCGGACCTTACCGTTTTTCTTGGGAACTGGAACAATGTTGGCTACCCAGTCTGGGTGTTGTTCTTCCCTGACAAAACCTGAG